TCACTTTACTCGTCTTAAACTGTTTTCCTGCAACTCTAATCAACTTTTCACCTCGGCCACAGCACTGAAAAGACACTAATCAAAGCCACATTCTTTGTTACAATTACCATAATAGCGAGCTACCATCATCCTTCTGGATCCCTGCACAGCCTTTAACATATGGACCACTTTGTCCTGCTCCCAAGCTTCTCCAATGTAATTGAGCTGGATGGGACAGACCTTGCCTGTCTCCATTATTTACCTATTCAGTCATAATCAGAGAATCTCCTGCAAAGATTTCTCTTTCTGCTTCTGTTACTCCTTGAAATCCCCAAGGTTCTCTCCGTGTCTTCCTTCCTATTTCTCATGCACATGCTACCCCTTGGCAACTTCACGTGAAGACATGAAGTCAGGTTCCTTTTCACAGGCACACAAACAATGCTCAGTTCTACCTCTTCATCACCTGTCTCAAGCCCTTCACTGCCTCTGTATTGTCAGAGTGCATGTCCAATATTCAAGTTTGAATGATTCCATCTCAATTCTTAGGTGCTTTCTCAGGCTGAAACAGGTAGTTCACATCCTCGATGTCACATTTGATCCTGGGTTGAACTTTCAAAATGCATATCTGTTCCATTGGAGAGATCATCTATTTCCATAACTTCATCTGTCTCTGCACCTGCCTCAACCCACCTATTGTTGAAATATTCTTTCATGTATTTGTTATCTCCAGCTTTGACTATTCCAATGTTCCAATGGTCAGTCTCCACATTGTCTACCCTCTAAACAATGTCAGCTCATCCAAAAATCTGTTCCCATAGCCTAAGTTGCATCAAGTCCCTTTCATCCCTTGTAATTGCTGATCTGCATTGACTCTCAGTCTTCCGATGCCTTAAATAGTGTTCACATCCCCCTCTATGGCATCATCTCTCCTTATCAGTGTCATTCCTCCAGTCATTCTTTCTTTCAATTTATCTTCATTGTGGGCTGTCTGTTTATTGTACTGGTGCTCCCTTCAAGATTGTCGTGCAGCTGAACAAGTGAACACTTTCACGGAATGTTGCATGGGCTCAAACTCATTACTGTACTATGTTAGATTCAGGGTTGCTGTGTCGCTGCACATCCACACAACCCAACAACCCACCTGGACCTCTGAATTCTTCCGGTTCTGACCTTTTATTCAACTGTTGCTTTATTTTTCCTGCTGGTTGTGGCCAAGCCTTCTGCCATCTAAACCTAAGTTCTGAATTTCACCTCATCATTACCATGCTCTCCTTTGAGTCAATCATTGAAATCTACTTGGATGAGGCTTAGTTACTTGTTGTAATTGATGCTTCATTAGCTTGATGTGCAATTTGTCTGATTACATTTCTGTTTCACCCTACAATGATTTCCTTCATTGAATGTCTGATATAAATATACATTGATAGTGGATCACTGTGGAAACACTGCAAACTACACATTAAATATTTTGTGCATTTGAGTGTATAAATCAAAGAAATAAGTTTACAGTGTCACAGATATTGGTTAATTGGCAAAGATCTAGAAGCAATGTGATGAGAATTTTTCATTCAGTGTTATTTTGTCAGTCGCTACTCTGCTGACAGGGCTATGTGAATCAAATGGATTCCAGCCACATTCCCAAAGATATGCTCTACGGCGACCTTCCTTTCCGCATAAGACCAACACATTACCCACGTCACCGCTACAGGGTCATCTGTAGGAGAGATCTCAAGTTGACCAGGATCAGAATTGATCCACGAGAACTTCTTGTTGCTAATGAATCAGGAGAAAACTCTGTGCTGGTTGGAGTCATAGCTGAGTTAAACAAGTCTCATAAATATTGTTACAACAGCAGGTCAATTAAGAACTCTGCAGCAAGTATCTCAACACCTCCCCCCATTGCTTGTCCAACATAAACAAAACACAAATCAGAAGTCTGATGGAATACTCTCTACTCATCTGAATGGATGCAGCTGGAGCAACACTCAGATGCTTAACACCATCCTGGATAAAGTAGCTCACTTGATTCATACCCCATCCACCATGATCAATATTCACTCCCTTCACGATTGACACACACAGTGAGACCAACTACAGGTTGAACAGCATTAACTTAGCAAGACACCTTGGACAGCTTCTGAATCTGCAACATGCTCGAAACAATGGCAGCAGTTGGATGGGATCATGACTACCTGCAACTTCAAGCCATGCAACATATTGACTTAGAACTATATTGCTGTTTCTTCATTGTCTCTATGTAAAAGTCCTGGAACTCCCTACTTAACAGCTTGTATGTGTATTTTCACCAAATGGACTGTGGTGGATCGAGAAGGCAGCTCATTACCACCCTCTCAAAGATGCATTCCATGAACAAATTACAATGAATAATAATTTTAAAAAGATAATTGGATAAATACTTGAATTGGAGAAACATTGCATGACTGTAGGTAAAGAACATGGAGTGAAATCAATGGAATACTGTTGCCAAAAACTGGCAATACATGAAAGGTCATAAATTCTTTATCTCTTCACAAATGCTGCCAAATCTGATCATTATCTGTTTTCAACTTTCAGTTCTTCATCCACTGTAAGATTGTGCTTTTGTACAGTCAGAGATGGGCCAAATAATCTCCTCTTGCTTTGTTATTTTCTTTAATCCTGGTGCCTGTTTCTTTAAAGGCAGCCTTATCAATGGATAACGCAAAGATGGATTGCGCGGCTCCCCGCCCGGCCTCGAAGTACGGAACACAGCACAACTGATTGAACTCCCGAGCAGTAATGCGCAGGCGAATCGTCTTTGTCCTATCATTGGTTTTCTACCGAAGTGTTAAAACGCATGCGCCTCCCTCTGTATTGCGGTTGGTCTTGCCGATATGATAATACGTATATGCCTTGTGGTTGGTTTTGCCCGTCTGGTAATACGCATGCGTTCTCCTCTGCGCTGTGATTGGCCATTCCACGATGACGGGCGGCGATGTGTTGCGCAGGCGCGGCGCGATCTTTCTCTCTCTTTCGCTCCGCCATCTTGTGCAGATATGGCTCCTGCGGTGAGTCCGGCCGCGCTGCTCATACTTGTCCTTCCCCGGAGGGGACTGCGTGTTCTGTACCTGTCCTCGCAGTTGTGGGGTCCTGGTCCTTTCACGGAGATGTATGAGGAATGGTCGGCTCTTGTTCTTCCATCGCTGACGGGGTGTATGCGGGAGACCGGCGGGAGCAGGCCTGAGTTCAGGGCCGCGGTCTCTGGGTGGGAGTGGGGACCAGATTCGAGATTTGCGTCTCCGGGGCTCCACAACTTACTGCTTTTGAGGCTTACCCCGGAGGCATCGCCGCTGCTCACCATAGCTCACCCCCCACCCCGAGTGGAAAGGCTGACCGAACCTCCCCGCTTGCTTGTCCTGCACGTGTTTGGCAAAGTTTAAAACTTCTCCTTTAAAAAATCAATAAACCATAGAATAGGTTTTCTTGTTAAAATAGCTTAATGACAATTTCAACCCCGCCACTGGCTTTCGGATTCAGAACGCCGCATTTCTAATTGAGCTGCAGTTTCTCAACATGTTCGACTAAATACTCTCAATTGTTACTGTAACATTCAGCCACTTGGGGCTCATTTTGAACGTGATTGCAGTATGATTTTTTTTTGGTTTTGGTATTCGACCCTAATTACTTTGATACTTCGCTTTCCTCCTCTTCCCCTCGAAAAACTGCATTTAAGTCGACTGTGAAGTCTTTCACGAAATCTTGCCTGCTCCTGTCCAGCTGTTGATGCCTCTCGACTAGACAATTCTAGAACCTGTCTTGCCATTTACTGAAATCGTGGCTGCCTTAACTCCAATCCTTTTCATTGACTTTATAGTCATTATAGCCCTGAAGCAGGCTACGTGACTCATCCTTCTTTATATGCTTGGCTAGTGAAAGGCTATCAATCTAATTTAAGGTTACTGAGCTAATGTTTGTTTGTGGATGTGCTCCTTAACTCCTCTGGATTGTTTGGTTAAATTTTTTCATGTTATTCCTCTTGTCCTGTGCCAATGGAAGTGGATCCCATACATGTAAAATATTGACAGTAAATTCACTATGATTCCCTGAATGCAGATGTTTGCTCCCAATGTTCCACAAGTTGCAGCAGCTAATCTATTTTGGTGGTATTGGTCAGAGGATAAATCTTGGCCCGGTCTTTAAACTAAATTTGTTTAATTATATGATATGTATAGCTTCAGTTTATTGGCTCACTGTGGTACTGAAGTGTTAAAAGTAGATCATGTTATGTTTCTGGAGTGTGACTTAAGCCTATAGTTTTTTGACATAGTGGTATAAGTACAGGGATATATAATTTGGTGCTTCTGCATGTGTTTCATAAATTACTGAGGTAATCTGAACAGTATGGTACATCTTCAATCTGTAGATTAAAGCCTTCTGGTTAAATTTGCTGACATCAGGTGCAATGCAATCTCGTTATTAGCCTTTCATTCTTACTTTAGTGTTATAGTTCAATTGTTTTTTTAAAATCATGTCTCTTGTTCT